TTTTTTTTTTTTTTTTTTTTTTTTTTTTTTTGCTAAAGAATATAAGCTGATAGCTCAGTAGAGTTTCCTTTTTATGTATGTAACTGTTTTCTCTTGCTGCTTTTAAAGTTCTCTCTTGGAGCACCTGGGTGGCTCGGTTGGTTAAGCGTCCAACTTCGGCTCAGGACACGGTCTCATGGTTTGTGGGTTCGAGCCATGTGTGGGGCTCTATGCTGACAGTTTAGAGCCTGGAGCCTGCTTCAGATTCAGTGTCTCTTTCTGCCTCTCCCTGACTTGCACTCTCTCTCTCTCTTTCTCTCTCAAAAATAAATGGATATTTAAAAAGTTAAAAAAATAAACTTCTATCTTCATCACTACCTTTTGCCATTTTGATTACTGTATGTCTTCGTGTGGATCTCCTTCAGTTGATTTTGTTGGCGGTCTCTCTGTGCCTCCTGGATCTGGATATTTGTTTTCTTTCCCAGATTAAGGAATTTTTCAACTATTGTTTCTTCAAGTAAATTATCTGCCCCTTTTTCTTTCTCTTCCCCTTTTGGTATCTCTATAATGCAAATGTTTTTCTTAATGTTCATTTATTTATTTTCAGAGAAAGAGACAGCATGTGAGTGGGGTCAGAGACAGAGAGAGAGAGGAGAGAGAATCTCAAGCAGGCCCCATTCTGTCAGTGCAGAGCCTGACATGGGGCATGATCTCATGTGAGATCATGACCTGAGCCAAAATCAATAGTTGTCCACTTAACTGACTAAGCCACCCAGGTGACCCATCTAAAATGCACATGTTATTACACTTGATGTCACCAAGTTCCTTTAACACATTTTCATTTATTATTTTTTTGTTCAGTTTGATTGCTTTCTATTACTGTCATCCTTCTTGCTGATCCATTCTTGTTCATTTTCTAGTCTATTATTTATTCCCTTTAGTATATTGTTAATTTATGTTATTCTTCATCTCTGATTGTTTATTTTGTTACATTTTCAATCTCTTTTGAATGTCTCACTGAGATCCTCCACTCCTTTCTCAAGTCCAGTGAGTATCTTTATCACCATTACTTTGAATTCTCTATCAGGTATATAGCTTATCTCTGATTCATTTTGCTTTTTGACTGTGTTTTTTTTTTTTCCTTTTCTTTCATTTAGGACATATTCTTCTATCTAACTCTCTGTTTGTTTCTATGTATTTGGAAAGTCAGCCATGTCTCCTGATCTTGAAAATAGTGGTCTTAGGAAGAGGTCTTGCCGTGCCTTGTAGTGCCATGTACCCTTGTGCACCAGAACCAGGTGCTTCAGTGGTGTCTCTTATGTGTGTTGCATGTACCCTACTGTTTGGTTGAGTTGTGTTTGTCTTCAGTCCAGTCAGCTGCAAAACCTCTTTGTTTTGCAAGAATGGCTCGATCCTTGTGCTTTTAATGGGTCAGGCTGGGACACTTTTGGGTTGTAGTTGGGTCAGACCAAAAGTATGCCCTCAGCCCACTTGCTGAGGTTTGGGTCACATTGAACTGCAGGGTGCTATTGCTGTGTTGTCCCCTGAGAGGCTTCTTTTGGTGGGCAGGTCTTGCCGTCAGACCACATGTCTGCCTACAGTACATCTGTGGAGTTTTCAGTGACTTTAAACTACAGGGCTTTATTTTTATGCTTCTTTTTGTGAGGTTTTTGTTAGTGGGCAGGGCCTGAAGTCAGTTCAGTGATCTGCTTCTAGGCCACTAATGGGGATAAAGTTGAACTCATGTGTTTGTTTATCTTCCCGTTTTTTTTTCAGGGCAAGCATCACTTTGGAGGGGTACTAGTCACTGTTGGGGTATATAGAATGAGAGCTGGTCAGAGCCACTTTGGAGGAACTCCTACAAGTGGGTTGGGTTTGGTGGGGCAAGTCTGTGGGAGACCATGGGTATGGTGAGCTCAGTGTTAGCAAGCTATGTGGCAAGTGTTCATGCTGGTTCATGCAGGTATCTGGGTATCTAGGTTTGAGGGTGGGTTGCAGAAATGGTGCCTACCCACTCTTTTGTTCTTGGATAAATCTTCTAAAGATTCTTGTCCCTCAAGTGCAAGTTCTCAGATTAGTAAATAAATCTCCATTCCATATAACTAGGTATTTTTTCAGTTTGCTGCTTCTATGGTGTATCTTGCCAGAATTGTTTATTATGCTGTTTTTTTAAGGGTGGGGATTCATTTTCCTATCATCCTCCAGCTTTTGCAGAGCTAAGCCTGCTGATTTTTAAAATACCTAAAGTTAAGCCTCACTGATTGTAATAACTCATGAAGTTAAGCTCCACTGGTTTACAAAACCAAGTTTTATGTGGACTTGTCTTCCCATTGCAGGTCCTCATGTCTGGGGTGCCTGTTTTGAGGTCTGTTCCTCTTCTTTCTTTGTGTTTGTGGTATCCTTCTCATTTGTGGTTAGTCTCACCAGAAGTTTGGTTTCAAACTGGGTGACTTTCCTACCATTTTTGATGTTGCCTGCTCTATACAATTAACTGTGGACAGTTTATTCTTCCAGTCTTTGGGTAATTTTCTGGGTTAGTTGCACTGAGGTGGCTGTTATTTAGGTGTCTCCATGGGATGGGGTAAGCTTAGGATCCTCCTACTCTGCAATTTTCCTAAAATTTCCTCCACGTTGTTATTTTAGTATTGGACCGAGGCAATCTAACCCAGGATGTACACACGAAGATGAATAGAATAAGTGAGCTTCTTTTCCTACCTCCAGTACAGTACTTACTAAAAAGGGCCAACAAATTTACATTGCTCTAAAATATAATCTCATCTTTCAAGTTCCTAAAAAATTTTCACTGTTGGAGTTACTAAAGGATTAGTAAAAGTTAGATATTGAGGTATATATTTAATTATCTCAAAAGGCCATTTAAAAGTCAATTAAAAACGAAAAATCTTTAGAGTGAAAGCCAGGTGATTTTGAGAACTCCAAATCCCAAAGTTTAGAGTCTGAGATGAGTATACAAAGCCATTTATGTTTATTCTGGAGAACAAAATACAAAACATTGCTTTAACATTTGAAATCGTTTTTTGAGATACAGACCTATATTAGCTGAACAAAATTAAAAAAAGTCAAGTGTATAATGAAAATGAACTTGAATAGCTGATGGGATTTCAAAGAACTGTTATAGACCAAATGTATGTGAAGACTGTGTCATGGTAATGCCACAGGGTATTATATAGTCATTAGAAATTATAAACATTAGAGTCCTTCTAATGTCAATATTCTAGGATAGTATACAATATTCTTAAGATTTTTTTTCCAAATAAAATCATAGGCTTTAGTTCATGGTTCATGTGTTCATGTAAACAAATTAAGACTGTAGGTTATTTAAATGTATTTTGTCAAATAAACAAATAAATCATTGAAAAAACCCTTGCTTCTACTCTTTATTTTGAAGATAGAACATGGTCCAGCAGGATAGCATAGAAAATTAAGGAATTGAGCTCTGGAGTCAGACTACCTAGATTTGAATCTTAGTTCTGATCCTTACTAGCTGCCTGACAATGGACATTTACTTAATTTCTTTGTGCCTTGGTTCCTAAGTCAGCAAAACAGGGATAAGAATGTTATATACACCACAGGGCAATTGTAAGCATTAAATGAGTTGATATATATAAAGCACTTAAAACAGAATAAAAGCTCAATAATTATTAGTTACCATGGTTAAAAGGCATATTTTTCAACCTCAAGGAATTTATAATCCCATAAAATGATGATTCCACTTTGGGAGAAAATACATACACATATTAAAAAAAGGAAAATAAGTACTAAACAGTTTCATATAAGATACAAAAATAAATGACATTAAAGAATAACAAATCATGGTTAGATTGTAGGTGATTGAATTATGGTATGTTTCCATGTGGGAGAAAGTGGGACTGCTAGTGGAAGTGAAAACATAGGAAAACACCTAGAGGTGGGAATAAGTAAGACACAAGTTTCTTTTATGTGCATTAGAATTTCACTATGCCTATATTTTGTTCTGATTCTTTCAAAATTTAGAATCCATGTAATAAATATGAATCATTATTTTTAACAAAATCATCTATATACTTTAAAATTATTTAAAAGTAAAGCTTTAACATCTGTATGTTAACATCTGTATGTATGTTATGATCACATTTGAGTTTCAAAAATGCCATGTAATAAGGCAGGAGTATTATTATTCTTAGTTTATAAATGAGGAAGCTGACGATCAGAACTCATGTCACTTGCTTAAAGTTATACCACTTGTAAGTAATAGAGACAAGATTAGCAACCAGGTGTTCTAGCTTCCAATTTAGTGCTCTTCTACCACACTATACTTACTGAATAACAGAAAGCTTAGTACATGATAAATGAGGACTGATTTTTTTGATAAATAGTATGTTTGATCTTTGTCTCAACCAAGGAAAAATGGTATAGGATAAAAGTGTAGATACTGCTAAATCTCAGGTATGTTAAAAATAAAAATAAGTAAGCACCAGTTATTACTATGCCTTAGAAGTCCTCTTTATTTCTGTTTTGAGTGTTTTCCTAAAGGGCTGCAACATTAGAAGTGAAATAGAAATAACATACACATGGAAGATTCAGATAGAACTTCTCCTTTCATAACTTTCTTTTTTTCTTCACCATTATCATTTATTTCCTCTGAGGTAATGTGCCTTTTGAAACACAGAATAAAGGAACAGACCACACTTCAGCAAAACCTTGCCATGAATATTATATTTCAGCTATAATCAAGTTGTGTCTTAAGAACAAAGATTCCACCGTAATTTAAAACCCACTGTAAATATATCCTTGATACTCCTGTCAATATGCCAATAAAGAAGTAAAAAGTATAAAACAATAATAAAACATAACTTCTACTCATAAATGTATATCATAGAGCAAAATCTCTGACATAGTTGTATAAATATAAGTACTTCTTAAAACAATTTGTAATATCAACATTCAAATTTTTATTCAGAAACCTATTGGAGCTAGTTTTGATACCAGTAATAAGCATGTAGAAGAAAAGTAGAATCCCTTCTCTCTTCTTTAGATAAATTTTAAATTACTTTTGTTCATATATGGAGGTGCCAGTTGTTTAGTTTCTTAAGGAAGGATTGTATGTCATATAGGGAGAGAATTACCTATAATAATGTCAATAAGCCACAAAAACTCCACTATTCTCTTTTGAGAGCCTGGGGTTAGGAGCAGAAGAAAACTGGACACAAACTGGTTTTTGACCAGGCTTATATTCTTCAGTTTCCAGATTGCACATTGCATGGGGCCTTTAGGACTATTTGGTTGGATATTACTGTTCTATCACTTGCATATTCTATTTTGGAAAAAAAATGGCCCTACTTTGCCTAGTCAGTCAATATTACAAAGAAAGAGGGTGATGGAACATTTTATGTAGGTCCTCGGTTATTCCAGTTCTCACCTGATGACATGCCTGCAAAGGGATATGTTAGGATGATTGGGGACTAATTGCTAATTTTGTATCTTAAAAAGCTATTTCTTATCCTTTGTAAAGTTTTTATTTGAGGAGAAAAACTTTGATCTCAGATCCATTTTTTTTTTAACAATGCCAAGACAAAAATATTCTTCACCTTTTGGTGAATGATCAAACAAACCACTTATAATTTAGTTCATAGTTGTGGACCGAATTTTTAACACTTAAAATATCTTTACAACCCCTAACAGTGTGGATTCATAAATGAGATATATTTATAGGCACACATTCATTTAAGTATTTGTAAATTATTAATGGAAATTCTTATTTTTATTACAAATAGTTTGAGATAATACTTGTTTGGGAAACTCTTTTCATTGATTTGCATTAGAAATAGGCTTAAATTATTCTTTACATATTTCTTCTTCTTTCTCTGGCAAAGAGGCCTTTTTCTTGGGTACATAAGTCACACTGGACAAAGAATGCTTTCTAATTGTAGACAGCCTTCTCCTAAAGTTCCCCCCTGAAAAGAAATATAGGAGAGGGTCAAAGCAACAATTTGATGCAGCCAGAGACAAGGTTATGACCACTGACTTTTGCATTCTAAGAACAGAATCACAGGGTTTAGTTTCATTGTGTAAAAAATGAAGGTGGATGGTGCGTTGAATATGATATGGCATGAAGCTGATCAAAAAGGCAGCTGTCACAACTATGATCATTCCTATAGCTTTTTTACGGCTTGACAGATTTTTGTTCATTGAATTTTTCAGTAAGGTTAAAATGATCATTGTGTAACAGACAATTATAATAACAAAAGGAATAATAAATCCGACAAACAATGACACATAATGCAAGACCAAAACATGATTTTTAGCCTGATTGTCCGGTGGAGGCTCAAAGCACTTGGTATTGTTTTTCTCATCTTTGTAAGATGTGGACATTAAAAATGGAGAACTGGTCAAAATTACAAAAATCCAAATGCCAACACACACAAATTTGGCTTTCTTATGTTTAACCAAATTAATGTTCTGGACTGGGAAAACAATTGCAATGCACCGGAAAAAACTCATGGCTGTCATAAAGAAGATACTACAATAGAGGTTGACATACAAGGCATAGGTGCTGAGGCGGCACAAAAAGTCACCAAAGAGCCAAATGCCTTTGTGAACATAATAGATCACACGGAGAGGCAGTGTACACACGCACAGTAGATCTGCTACTGCTAAATTAATCATGTATACTTGGAAAGCTGACTTCTCATGATATGTTTTTATGAGGACATAGAGCACAAAGCTATTGCCAAAGAAGCCCACGACGGAGATCATAGAGTACAGGGTAGAATACACTTGATTGCGGAAGTCATCAATGGTATCATTGCACGTGTTATTACTGGCAGAAGAAACTGTCAGATTTCCAACTCCATCCATATTTCTCTAGGAATGTCTGCTTGGTGCCTAAAATACATACATATATATATATATTTTTTTTTTCTTGCCATTTTTTACCAGATAATAAATTACAGGAAGTACTAAGATTTCACTTTGTAGTGTCATTATATATACTTTTTGACCATGGTAGGAAGCACAAGTGGTGGGGAAATGAAGAGATATTCAGCTGCATCTTGCCTCCAAGAGAAGGGTATGGGTCCTACAGGCTCAAAGAAAACTCTTTTTCCCCTCTTTTTTCCATCCAAGTTTGCCTAATGGACTTACTCTTAATCTTCAAGACCTAGCTAAAACATCTCTGCTTTTCTTTAAGTCATATTACTCTAGTACTATTCTGTAAATCTTCCTTTTAATTGAGTTTGTTTCTCTATTAGATAAAATCTTTAAAGATAGTAGTTTCATAAATATAAATTTCATCTATCTTCTATCTACCTAAAGTTATATATCTATCATCATCTACCTATTGGAAGAGCATTGAATTCACTTGGAGAATATGATCTAGGTGAAAATGCTTGTTTTCTTCAAGAAAGCTGCCTAGGTAACATCTGCTGGTTGATGCTCATCCAGTTGCTTTAATTAGAGAAAAAAGTTCCAGAGGTAAAACACGTTTCTAAAATCTGCACCATAAGTTAAGGCTCTGAGGAAAGATGTAGCATAACTAGTTGAAATATACTTTCTGGGTAAGGGTATTGTTGTAACTGTTTATCCTTGTTCTCTTCCTAGATTCACTCTCAAAGTCATACTATTCAACAATACATGATCATTTCTCTTTATACCAAGGGGTTGTTACTTGGTCTAATTTAGTTAAGTTATATCAAGACGGTCAATTAAGGCAGTAAACAAGCTCTGATCAGATAGAGCTAGGGATGAGACAATGTAGAAGTAATGATTTCTAGTGTTCCTCCAGATTCTTTTATTCTTTAAGAAAGTGGGAGCACCTCATCAATGTATAATATGGTGGATAATTTTTTACTGAAGTCTTATTTCTTGGACTTTTACACAGTTTCTGCTCTCTAGTAAGAAAGAGTTGGTTGGGGTTTGTAAGGTGGAAAGACTGACTGAATATAAAGAAGTCCCAACAATAGAGGGGACTGATCTTGTCTCTGAATTATAAATACAGAAACAGACAGCTATGGTAGTGGTTGTAGGTGGGATATAACTTCCCGGGTTTACTACTGCTAACAACTTGGCCAGTTCCATTTTTTCTTTGATTAAAAAATTTCATTATTTTTCATCAAGAACTGTTGGTATATGACAAAAACAATGAGGGTGGATATCTAAGATCAAAGAGAAAAACGAGGTGACTATTCCCAACTTCTGGTTTATTTCTCGGGTTTTTTTCCAGCTACCCACCTCTTTCACCATTGGCTCCCTGAACTCAGGTGCAATTATGGGAGAAAGGGAAACCACCTAAGCTTAATCTAGTCTTTTTTTGTTAGCCCTATTACTAGGTTTTCCACAAACTGGGCAGTGTTATGCTGAGGCACTAGATGGTGCTGTTGAGATTTTTGATATAACTTTTGTTTTAAGAACTACACTTGAAAGATATTAGATAATTACCATCTGTCTTTCCTACCACCATCTTTACTCACTACATCATTATTTCCAGAATAATTTCCCTATATTGGAGCTTTCAACTATGTCATGCTCTCTTCTAAAACCTTCAATGGTCACTGAGTGCCTTCAGAATAAAATCCAAACTTCTTGGCCTGATATTTAAGGATCTCTACACTCTAGTTGCAACTGAATTTTCTTAGCTTCTCTTTCACTTTTCTCTTTTACACACCTTATATTTCTTTTTTAAAAAATGTTTATTTATTTATTTTGAGATAGAGCATGAGCGGGGGAGGGGCAGAGAGAGGGAGAGAAAGAATCTCAAGCAGGCTCTGTGATGTTAGCCCAGAGCCCTATGTGGGGCTTGATCTCACAGAGAGATCATGGCCTGAGCCAATATCAAGAGTTGGATACTTAACGGACTGAGACACCCAGGCACCCCTACACACACTGTACTTCAATGAAACAAGTATTTTATTATGCTAGGGACATGTGTTACATGTTTTCCCATCTGCTATCTTTTTTCATGGTATTTCTTTTTCCCTAAATGCTTTTTGTTTCATCTATGTATATGCAAAAACTATCCCCCCTTTAGCTCAAATTACACCCTCCTTGACTAAGAATTTCCTTATCCTCCTTCCACAGTAATTTCTATCATATTCTCTTCTGGGGAACTTTAAATTTATCTTTCAGATCAGCAATTTGTACATATTTGTTGTCTTCCCTTACAGACTATCTTGTTGATATATAAGAAAGCATGTCACACAGGGCTAATACATATGTACCTTGACCATAAGTGCTCAATAAATTTTGGTTGAATGAATGAATACATGAATGGTGAACAAGTTTGTTATCTGAAAGTTTTTTTACTTATTTATTTACTTATTTACTTATTTTAAGAGAGAGAATGAGCAGGGGATGGGCAGAGAGAGAGAGAGGGAATCCCAAGTAGGCTCTACACTGTCAGAGTGGAGCTCGATGCAGGGCTCAAAACCCATGAACCTTGAGATCATGACCTAAGTCAAAATCGAGAGTTGGACACTTAACTGACTGAGCCACCCAGGTGCCCCTTAAAGTATTATTTATAATTTAAAACCACTTAGAGTTATCTTTGCATTCCAATATCATTTAAAATTATTCCACCCTCAGAGCCTAAAGCAAAGTTGCTTCCTAAAGTATTAAGGAAAGCACTAAATAATAAAGCTAACTGTAAGATTAAAAAACATTCATATCTTGACACAGACCACCCATTTATTTTTCTGTTAAATATTAGAAATTTGAAATTCCCAGATCTTTGAATAAAAGATGCCAAATAAAACTGATAAATAAATTAATGAAAAACAGATGGTCATTTGTCCCATTAATAAACTTTACAGTCCTTACAGACCAACTTAAGTTTTCCTAGTAATGTTTGTATTTAGTTTCAATTGTTTATTTATAATTAAGTCACATCCATGACTTATATTAGATTATAAAAAGAAAATTATAAAACTTTCAAACAAGTAATGAATCCTGGAGGGGTAGAGATCACTTAGTCTAAGGCACTCATTTCACAAATGATGGCTTTGCTTATCTTAAACAACATTTAATTCATTTTTATAGAACTTACTATGTATGATCCCCCAATAATGAGATCTATGCTGTAAGGATACATAGATACCTAAGATCCCATCCATGCCTTCAAGAAGCTCATAATCTGTTCATGGAGAGGAGTGATGACTGAGAAGTATGGAGAGGTTACAACACAGTATGATAAGAACTATCTTAGAACAAAGCAAATGGGCTATTAATTGGTTAATATAAACAAGCAATAAACATACATAAAATTAATTTTTGGTGCAGATGACAAAAAAGGTTACTTTGTTAAGATAATTTGCAAGTTGAAGAAACAAGATTGATTTAGAAAATGGAGCCATACCTCTTTCTGACACTGCAGTGCCTTTCACAAATGTTCCTAGTTAGTGGTCAGTGCTTCTTATAATGTAATTTCAGATGAAGCCTAAGCTGAAATCATAAGATTGAAAAAAAAGTTAATGACATTAGAAGTATTCTGGAAGGGTCATGGGAGCTTAGTGGCCTTAAGTACAGATACAGAGTGTGTCATGGGACATCATAGCTTTAGGACAGATTTAGGGCTAGTTATTGGATTCCATGCTTCCTTCTTTTCCTTCCATTCATTTTTACATCCCCAGGGGAGAAACTTGGAATACAGGCCAGGGCTGATCACAGATATTTGTTTCTGTGTGCAGGAAGCTTCCATATCTAAAGATGAACACAGTATCATAAAAATACTCCTCTCTCTATGAAACCATGATATTTTCCCTATTTTCTTTTCTAAACCATTTGGTATTAAGTTCAAAGGGGAAATAATTTGGAAGTTCATATCTGAAGATATAGTTTGCTAGAAAGAAGACTTAGAACTTCAGATATATCTGTCTGGAATGGTTTAGGGACAATTTTCCTTTAAGGAATAATAGATTAGAGGACCTTGGACTCTTCTCCCTAAAAATCTCATAATAGTAGTTATTGTTTATATCACTAATTTGGCATATATTATATACCTGCAGAAACCAACTGTTTTGTAGTTTGTACAGTTAACTTTTCATGAGTATATGCTTCTTCTCTTCAATTAAACCATATCAGAAAATCTAACAAAGTATAACAAATCTCCAAGAAATGAACAAAGAAGGGTTTTCATGAAACATTAGCAACCTGGACACTCCCCTCCCTAAATTTGTATTCCCCTATGGCAATTTTCATCCCTGTCTGCAAGGACTACGGAGACTGGCCACTTTTTTATTTATCTATGGTCTAAGTACCAACAAAATAAACACCTTCCTCCAGTTTATTCTTAGCAAGTATAAACACACTGGGCCTTTGTAAAGAACTCTGCTGAAAAAAAAGGAAATCACAAGGAAAATAGAGGAAATTCAGAAATATAAAATATAGATATATTTAAAAGTAGGAATCTCAACCTATAGCTATAATATTGTGTATTGAATCCACCCTGTGTTCAGATAATCATTTTAAGATGTTCTCCAACTTTTTTTCCCTTTCTGAATTTCCCTCCTTCTCCAGGTAAGGAGTTGACATAGGTAATGTACAACTAGCAGTCTGGATGAAGTATGGACTGAAGGTGGGGAATTAGTCAAATTAGTCAAACTGTGTTGGCTTTTATTCAGTAAACTTTTTTTTGCTTAGCTTGTCCTAGGTCTCTGTAATCAATAAAGGTATACTGACAGAATATCGAATGAAAAAAGTCTCTGAACCTTAAATTATATAATTCCATTCATTTATAGAGAAAATTAACTTTGGCTCTGTCACAATTTTGTATTTAGACAAAACATATTTTTTCCTAGTGTGTAAAGAGAAAAAAAGTTTATGAATTTCCAACACCTATCTGTGAGAAGTATAATATTACCAGGCTAATGTACTAGTTATCCATTTCCATGGTAGCTGTGCAACTATAACTTAATTCACACTACATGTACAAATAAGTAAATGTCACATTGTCTGGGCAACAGTGTAGTGTTTCCTCAAGTTTGGGATTCTGAGGTGTCTTCTATTATTTCCTAAGAAATTCTGAGCTTTGCACATAGTGGGCATTCAATACTTTGACTCCTTACCTTTCTTTCTTTTTTTTTTCAGTTTCCTAGAGGATTCTTGTCTCTGACAGCAGTTTCTGCCAAAATTAGATTCTACCATTCTTATCTGGGTGATTGGGTGGGTAGACGTCAGACAAAAAAGTAAGAGTATGAGTATGTGATTTTTTAATTTTAATTATTTAATTCAGGAGTTGCTCAGATCTTTTATTTGGGTCATTTGAAGTCCATGAACGTGTGTGTGTGTGTGTGTGTGTAAATTTCTTTCCTTCAGCCCTTAACTTCCATTGAACCTGTAACATGGTCAAGCTCCAGTGAATGAGGGAAATAAGAGATACAGAGATAATCTGAGAATACAAGGTCCCAATTCATGTACCATAGTCTTTATTGTTGCTGCATTAGAACTACCTACAAACAAGAATGACTTATACACTTCATGTTCTCTAAGCGTGGTCTGGGTAGAGCTGATGATCGACAAGTATCCCTAGGCTTGTGTCTTCTATCAAATGAAGATAGTAATAGTGATTCTTTTTCATTTCTAATAAAAAAAAAGTCATTCCTGTTCTTCTCAATCTAATTTAGTATCTTTCTCCATTAAAGTTCTGCAGAATTTTGTTTTTACTGTTATTGATCATTTTCATTTCTTGTTTTGTGTCATAGTCATCTCCTGGTTTTTCAATTTAAACTTCTTCATAATTCCCACCCCAGTTCCACTAGAATTAAATAACAAAAAACAAGTCTTATTCTTTTTGTATTTCATGCTATGTACAGTTCAATGTGTTTTAAATATTGGGTGATTTGAATTAATTTTTATTTTATTTTATTTATTTTTTTTATGAATTTGCATTTTATTTATTTATTTATTTATTTATTTATTTTTATTTATATAT